ATCGATTTATAAAAGTATATTAAATATATCGTTATTAACTATACTCTTGTCTTGTCTTGTAGTGTAATCGTATTCTCATATTTGTATTCACCTAAGAGTATGTATTCATTACATTTGTGGTAAAGAATATCTTTATGTAGATCGCTCAAAATAAAGAAGTGGATCTTGAAGGAACAATATGAAAATAAATTATGTGATTCATATAGATCATGAATTTAAATTGTGAAATTATTTGCTAGTGTTTATGTCAAGGTATGTTAGTTTAACAAAAATGTAAAATACAGAACTCCTTTCAAAATATCGCATAAATACAAACACTTCATGCGATAAATTGTCTTTTTAATATTGCTTAATAGACAACTACATTCAAGATCAATCAAATCTCATTCACTCTATTGTTTACGCATTTAAATTGTGTGACTTATAATAGTAAGTTAAAAGTGTAGAATTAATTAATTATACTTGTTTTTGTGCGCCTCTTCTCTAAATCCTGCATTAATGCGGGACACATCGTGCATCTAATTGTCCTTTTTTAATTTGCTTAATAACACCCGCTCACTATTACACTTACATAACTAAGTTGAAAAATATGATTTTAATACCTCAATAGGACACATGATTCAAGATATAATGATTTGTCAACCTTGAATAAAATTCATTAGTGCAAGAATAAAAATCTTTTATTTTTACTTTTTACTTTTTTAAAAAATTAACCAAAATTATGCAATTTAATTGATACACAAAAAAAAAAAAAAACATCATACCAGCCCATAAAATGTGAGTGAACTCATGATACTATATATGTAATATGTGAACTTACACCTATGTATGTTTGCTTAATAATGTATATTTTTTCTCACCCCGTTCTCCTCCATCTCATTTGAAGAATATTTTAGTCTGATTTAAATTAAAAATACACATTTACATTCAATATCAACAAACTAGACTTACTAAAAAAGGTTTGTATAACACACACATCTAGAGGGAAGCAACGTATCATGCAACAACTTTAGAATATTGTGTGTACTATTTCCTAATTTAGCTTTTTGAACGAGCTCTAAAATGAAGTCGCCTTTAGTTGAGAATATCTTACTGGCCAAGTAACTTTTTCAAGACGAGTTTGGATTATATAGGTCTTAAAGTGAGAACTGGAATTGGGATGATCCAGATTTAACTGTCAAAGATATTGTCTGCTTTGGACCTAGATCCTGCATAGATTTATCCTTTTAGTTTTAACTTAAAAGGCGTCTCACCAGTTCATTCTAAACCTATTTTAATAATGTCTCTTTCTTTTCCCATCGCGATATGAATTCACCTAAAAAGTAATGCGCAGTACCCCTTTTTAAGAGGACTACGTTTCGCCTGGGAGTCATATATCCCACCTTGGGACTTAATGCGTTCGTTGAGATTCGCCCCACCATCGTATTGAGGGATAGTACTGTTCTACCATTAGTAACAACTATGGTTCAATTGTTAAGGTATTATCACTTTGGCTCTAAGCCCACACAAATTTATACACTTGGTTTTAATCCCCTAAAAACATCACAATAGTCGATTTTGAACTCATGATTTTTATATTTCTCGTCTCATTTCGATATCAAATTCATCTAAAGGTGTAATGTGCACCTTTTTTTTTAGGTTTGTTGTCTGTCATAAACGTCACATGTACCAAATGAGAAACCAAAAAAATATCTTCAAATCTCTCACTATATAATTGAGCCTTCTATTTTATTTTTACTATTTTATGCTATGACAATTAAATCTTGTGATTTCTTTTACATTCTTGAAATTATTGGACCCCTCTTTTATTCTTAATTTTGACAAGTCTCTCTCACACCTAGCAATGAGAGGGGGAGAGAATAGGAAACTCTTTACATTTCATTTTCTCAAACTTCCATGACTCTTTATGTATAACCAATTGTTTAATTTTCAACATAGTAATGATAAAATGTATGAGATCAGAGATCCTTCGTTCTTAATTAGAAGTTTTGATACGTTATGAAAATATACATTATTTGTACCGATATATCCATGCTATCACTATATACTAAAATAAAATAATGATGTATTAATTAAGTTTTGAGTCCACAAAAGAACTGTGTTTTAATTTCTTAAAGAAGTTAATCCTCTCACAGTATTACTATATGCTACTTTTAACGTGGGTTCACACCTCTATTTTTAATTATTTTTTAAAAAAAATATAACATTACTATATATAATCTAGAGAGGGGAGCTTGGGTTCACGTGAACCCACGGAACCCCCTCTAGATACACCTCTGCTAGAAAATATGATTTTAAGTTGCTTTTAAATAACTTATTTTATATATACAATTATTAATTTATAATTCAATAACTCAAAAAAAACTAATTTTTTTAAATTAATAAATTTTAAATTTTGACCCCGCCTCTGAATATAACCACCATTGAGAAATCACTTTCTTGCTCATTGTTTTTTTTTTTTAAACCCTAATTTGTAACATTCCAAAACATTAATATCTCTATATAGCCCCCCTAGTCCGCTTTCACATAAGACCAAAGAAAGGTCACTTATTAATTACTACTACATGACTCCCACCCACTCATTCATTCAATAATCCCACCCACCCCCCTTTAATAACCATATGGTACCCGATATTATTAATCTGATTAATTTAAATTCACTGAACGTGAGGTTTACTAGTTTTCTTTTATTAATTTGATTAATTTAAATTCACAGAACGTGAGGTTTACTAGTTCCCTTTTGTATATGTTGTATAATATTTATGATAAAGAGTGTTTCAATGACGTCCATCTTTAATAAGTATATATCATAGTTTTACCTAATCTAGAGTTTACGTGAACCTAATAGCTTTAGCTCATATTATAGATATGTATTAATAATATTTAGTTATAAACTGAATTATTAGTATACATTAATTTGAGGTCATTTAAAATTTTAAATTTTGAATTCACTTCCGTCACGAAAGAAATCACATATATCCACCATACCCTGGGGCCCTTCAAATTCACCTCCCAAACTCCATCTTTTAAACTTTAAAGTCCCTCTATTTCCCTTTTTTATATATTTTATTTTATTTTACATCACAATAGACATGTGTTTTAAACTCCATCTTTTAAGCTTTAATATTTCATTATTCAACTCTCAATCATTAATTATGTTTTTAATCACTTAAATTTCAATTATCAAGTGCATTTTAAGAAGTTTTATATCCACTCATTAAGCCTGAATATATTTAAATAATTAAGATTTTATAACAAATTATTATTATCATTAATATGTTATCCATTATAACTTTACGCACATATGTTATTTCATCGTCACTCAATTTACTTTCAGCACACTAACCACCACTATTGTCACTGTCGTCCACTATTATCAACGACTATCACACCGTTGTTCTTCCCATTATCACTTATATATCACCAATATTCACTATCTTCGATCATAACTATTATCCGTGTTAATCACAATATAATCGATTAATTGTCATGATCACCATTTATAATCATTATTAACATGACGATTATCAGTTACTATATATATTCACCATCATCAGCTATCACCATATATCTCCAACCAACACTATCAATTATTACCACTAGTTATCACTCAACACTATCAATCATTATCACTATCATTAAGTATATCACTATTATCCACCACAGTCATCATTATCCACCACAGTCATCATTCAACCATCATCATATATCGCCAACCAACACTATCAATCATTACTACTAGCTATCACCATATATCGTCAATCAACACTATCAATCATTACCACTATCATTAAGTATATCACTATTATCTACCACAATCATCATTCGCCACTGCTAATATCATCATCGATTAGCCACAGCTATAAGCTATTACTATCAGTCATCACCACTAGCTAGCTAGGTAGGTATTGTCACAACCATCACCACCACCGTTATCTATCACCACCATCGATCAACATATTCAATAAAAAACAAACAAGACCTAAATATTTTCTATTGTACAACTATATACCACTCTCAAGTTGTAATAGAACACTACTATACAAAACCATACCCCCACTAATTCTCTCACCCCCACCCCTCAAACACCCCCA